ACAGAAAAAAAGTTATAGAAGTTTGAGTTTATGAAAATGTACAATGTAAAAAATTTAATCAAAATATATCATTTATATCAAATATATATTTTCAAAACCTGGGCGACTCTAAAGCTGCAAAAAAATCAAAGCCAAAAATCTGAACAAGTTGTGTTTCAAATTTTAGGTTGATATCTCAAAAAATGAGTTTTCAGTAAGATTTTGTTTGTGCGCAGTACCAAACTTTTTCACTAGATGACAACCAGACTCCATTACTGCCCATATAAGGGCGGCTCCATTTCCATATGTGTTTTGAGTGGTCTGAACCATTATTTCCACAATTTTCATACAATTTATGAAGTAGACATCCTATTCAAAAGTAATATGAGAAGTTTGGCAGATTTTGATATGAATTCAACCTCTAAGAAACACATAAAAAGAACAAGTATGTGCGTTATAGTTTGCTGCCACATCACAAATGGTGAATCTATAAAAATTGTCTTTATATTTAAAAAAAATTAAGACCTTTTTTTCTAAAATAATTGAATGGATGTTATCTTTTGAACTCTTGGCATGAAAACAAACTGAGGTTTCTACCCTTCTTTCATGATTTCAAAATAAAGGTCTGAACACGCCTTAGGAGTATGAAAATATTCTTGTTGCAAATTGATAAATTACGGCTCCTCTGTAATTTATTTTGAAAATCAATCACCAAATATGGAAACTAGAGATTGTAAGCTTTCAAATGATATATAGTTTGTCAAGATTAGTTTAGGTTTAGTATAGGATATTACTGTTTTAAAAATGTAATGGATTTGGGCCCACTGGTGGGCCAGTGACATGTGAGATGACGCTCTGATTGGTTTATTTCACGTTACGCCCAAACAAACCACACCTATATGAGTAATGTAGCTACTTCAGTTCAGACCAACCCATTTTAGATTTGCGTCGGGCGCAAGAGTCATTTATCCCACCGTATAATAGCAACAGCGCCCGAGATCCGCCCACAAAGTTACTTTTTGTTTCGCGTTTGATACTTGCATTTCAGATCGTTATAGGGCCCATAATGTGTTTGTTTGAGCTGTTAAAATCTGTGCGTAGATGTTCAGGGTTAATTAGGAAGCTGTTTTCACACTCTTACAGTTATCAGACATCTGACACTTCAGTTTGTCAATCCATCTGCTACCACAAGCAGGCTTAAATACAAACACATGTACTCAATTCTGACTCCCTGCGGTTTACTGTATAAACATAGCCTACTCCAAGAATATCGAAGTTAGGTGTCTTTTCTCTTTAACTCCCTCTAAACTGAGATTTTGTTTTCTAGAACTAGCTAGATTTTCAGATTGTCAGCAGCTCTTGAATGTTGGATAAACAACTTTCTTCTCGAAGTTGGCAAGACATTATTAATATATTCATGTATGAATGTGAGTAAGATCCAATATTTTATATTGCCCACAAGGGGGCGTTATAAATTCATACTGATGTTGTGATTTTCCAGGTGGAAGGGAGACGATTGCCCTGTCCAAATACCCATACTTGCTGTCCTGGCCACTTGAGAGCGCATGCATGCGACAGCAAGGAAGTGCGCAAGATTGTCCCATGTCTAAAAAATGCCAAAGTGGAGTGGCCGTAATGCACACTAAACTCACACTATCTTGAGGCCCTATCCCAAATGGCACCCTAAACACTCGTGGTCTTCCTACGTGTCCACACTTTCGTGACGTAACAGAGCTTTGACTCTCGGGAAGAAGTCTGCTGTGGAGCTCGCACTAGCGGGCTCGGCAAAAGTGCGCATTGAGGACTCATATCGACCGCAAGGGCGGCGCTCGCGAGCACCCCTCTGAAACCTAAAATGGCCTAAAGTGCATATGAAGTGTGCCATTTGGGACAGGGCCATAGAGCCTAAGCGTATCCCATTGTGCATTATATTCGGGAACTCACTTGCCTCGAAATCGCAAGATGTCGAGGAAAAGGTTCCACTGTAAGTTAGATTAGACATGACATATCCTATAATTTGGAATTAAAACATAAATTGTTGCTCATTTCATTGGTGCAAAGATGAGTAGACTATATGTATTTTGTACAACATTTGCAACTGCTTTTTATCACTTAAGCACCACAATTTTAAAATTGTGTCTTGTTAGTTACATAGCGACTACTGAACAGACATTTAGAAGTTTATTTGAAAGTTTATTTGAAAGTTTATTTGAAAGTTTATTTGAAAGTATTGAAAATAAAATCTGTAAACACTTTAATTTTTGCAACACTATAAGTGTGTCCCATCGGGTAATCATAAGTTATATACACACTTTCAGTCTTCATGCCTACTTGAACACTTTGGCCAAAATACAGGAAATTCATCATGTAAGTAGGTCGTGTGGTCAAGTGCAAAGACTGCAAGTGTGGTTATTTGGACAGAGCAAAAGAACACTAAAGCAGAGGAAAAAACGATCATGATTTTTTTAGTTTGTGTAAAGTTTAGGGGTGAAATACACCTTGTGAAATGTTGCACTTTTTTATTGGTCAGTTATTACGTTAGAAGTTTGCCTCACTTCCAGTCTTTCTCATTTGATCATTGCGGATGTTTGAGGCGTTTAGTTATTCTCGTGAAGTAAACCATGTGATTATGAGCATTAAGTTAATTCATTCATCTTCGTTCCTCTTTTTGCACTTCCCTAAATGTGTCACATCACACTTTTGTAAATGTGACCCATAATCACAAGTTCCTCAAAACAATGCTCTCACACAAGTGTGTGAGAAAGTTTTCCAGTGGAGGTCATACAATCCAGAGTACATAGTCAATGATTTGCCAAATGCCTTACTCAAGGTCAGCTATTAATAACGGAAAGTTACAGAATATGTTGATAGACTTGTGTAGCTAAATATGTACAGACCCATGAGCACTTCAATAAACGCAGTCATCCTGAAGTCTGGTAACCGTAATGATGATCCCCCTTTAAAACGTCGTCTGGGTGGAGTGTCACTGTTACGTCACGTGTGCTCTTGGACAAGACTGAGATTTTCTTGTTCTAATCTGGATATGAAAGGGCCCTGTGTTCTGTAAAAGGACAGTTTGTGTAAACAAGTCTTGCTCCCACTGCAGCCAAACATGTATGAATGTGTATTTTTAACTTGGAAGTGTGAGTGTGTCAGTGGAGAGTCAATATCTTGCTCTCTACTATAAATGTGTGGGGTCAGAAAGCTCAAAAACATTTTCTTATTAGTGTTTTGTGCCAGTAAAAATATTTACACATCCTTAAAATAAGTTATATAATATAATATAACCACATATATGTAAAATAATAAAATTGTCAGGGTTTGGTTGCAACATGGCAAGGATAGATTGGATCCTTATCAGCAGCATGATTATTAAACAAAACAAACTCAATTTAACAATTAAAATTCTTCAAAAATGTTACGTTATTAGAAGAAAGAAAGCTTTAAAGGGGTCATATAATGGTACATGCACTTTTACAAGTTGATTGTACTGAAATGTGTGTTGGCAGTGTCTGTACACAACCATCATATAATGATAAAAATCCATCCAGTGGTTTTGTTTTAATCTCCTTATGTTTTCCCCTGCCTCAAATCGAGCTGTTCGACCGTGTGACGTCACACGGTCGGACGCCCCTCCCACGATTGTTGATTGACAGCAGCGTTTCAACACAGACCCGCCCTCGCTCATGAGGGAGCTGTCAATCATAGTCTGCGTGGACCGGCGCGGTCATTGTTGATAGGCTGGAGCACTGTCTATGAGCAGAATGGCGTCTAAGCGATTGTGGTGTTCTGTTCTTGGGTGTAATAACGAACACAGCAGTCATTTCAATGTTCCTAAATCCGAACCGCTGAAGACGCAGTGGCTGTGTTTGTTTTCGAAGGGAATATTCCCCACGAGCAACGTCAATGCTCTCATGTTTGCGCGAATCATTTCACACACCAGACTGCTTTATAAACGAGGGTCAGTATAAAGCTGGATTTGCTAAGAAGCTGCTCATGAAAAATGGATCGGTACGAGATATTCGTGTTCCTGCTGAATCTCCAGAAGAACGGAAGTGAATGTAACGTTTTATTAAACTTTATATTAATATATTAATCTTTGCAAATCGCTAGCTGCACGCTTCACAATGAATGCGTCTAAGGTTTACACTCAGGGTACATTACGGCATGTTTTCTATATATGACGTTCTCAATATAATTCATAATCCCAAGTTTATACTGAACAACGCGTTATGGTTATTGTGTTATCGAGTTACAAATGGTGTATGCACAGAACAGAGGGGCGGAGTGAGCAAAGCTCATTATCATTTAAAATCATATACACTGAAAGGCGTGCTGAAAACAGAGCTGTTTTTGACCAGGTAAAATAAGTGTTTTCTTACAATACTAATGAGAATGTTTAATTAAAGTATATTACAAACTTTTAATTTAGACCCTAAAGAATCATATTAGCTTGTACAAAAATGACATTATATGACCCCTTTAAGGTTTTAAATGACATTATGGCAAGTAAATAATGACAGCATTTTTCCTATACAGGTTTGCACGATTTCTTATTTTAAGGATGTTTCGATATTTGAACTGGAAAATAGGACTAAAATGCTTATGTTTTTTTTGTTTTGTTTTTTTGCAGTGAGGGTACTGATATTTCCCCTGTGAGGCCACAGAAAAGGAAAAGCACATGCACTGCACAAGCTGCATGCATGATTGAACTCCTTCCTGTTCTGTTCAAAACCACATCATTGGCAAAAGCACCAGAACAGAGACAGAAAGAGGATTTGAGCCCAGGTATATCTTGGATCGTTCTCTTGTTTCACACATTTTCTTTCTCTTGTATATCTCACTTTTCTCAGTCTTGTCTTGTTTCTCTCTCTTTTTCTCACAAGATTGCCATCTAAATGTGGTCTCTTTCGTGCCGTGTGTCCTGCACAGAAGTGCTTCAATGTGCTTTATATTTTCATAAAAATTACTTCTCATGGTTTGACTTCTTATGCTGTTGGATATGGAAAACTGACTGCACATAATTGTGTAATTGTGTTCTTGGGTAATTTTACGGTTACTCTAAGAACACAGGCTTCCTTTATTTTCCGGATTTAATCAGAGCTCTAGATCTCACAGGGACCTTCTCTTTTCTCTTCTCTCTCTCTTTCTCTCCCCTTGATAATTTCCCCGCTGCTTCATTTTCTGAGGAACATTCTGAATCCAAACTATTCTCTCCGTGTAATTCTTGTCTATTTCTCTGTGAATCCATCGAGAGGAGACTCTGAAGAGAGTTTGCCCTCTGACCTTTAGGTGTGTGTAGTTTAGGCACTGTTGGTTCCATAAATAGTGTCTTGCAATACTGGCTTTCTGGGTATCTTGTGTAGCAAGCATTCGAGACCAAATCCACAAACACACACACACACACAAGTCAAGCCATGGTCAAGAGCATGTGAAGAGCTTTCAGCTGGCTGGGAGTGAGATCAAGGCTGAAGACTTTTGCCTTTTATAGCTGGAGAGAGGAGTCTGGACAAAGTAAACAGTGAGTAAACTACTGCGCTCTTTCCTCTTCCTCTCTCTTTGTCTATGGAACATTAAGAATCTTCCCAGGCCTGTTTACATGACTGCTTGAAATTAAAAGGGCTTATATTTATGGGTTCGCTCTCTTTTTCCAGGATAGAGATTGTGTGCTGCTGCGTATAGGGGAGGACAAGGGAGAGAGAAAGCAGAGGGGAGGTGCTGTGTAATGTTCACTGTTCACATTTTAAATCACCTAACCTTTTGGAAATCCTTTTGTTGTCTCATGTTCTTTTGGGAATTTGGTGCTGAAATCCCTTTATGTAGTGTTGACTTGGGATGTTAGGATTGCGTGACCTGTTTATTTATAAAGCAGTCATCAGATCATTTTCCTTCATAAAACATGTGATCCGAATCTTGTACTGCTCATAATGAAATATATGAATAGCCTTGATGACCTAATTTCATACCTCATGAGACTTAAAGCAGTTCTTAGTAATGTTTAAGTCTCAGATGTTTCTACTAAACCTTTACAATCCAGATAAATTAGAATTGTTGACAAAGGAGTAGAGCTATGACCTTAATGTGGATAGGAGAGCTCAGATAGAGTTCATATTCTTCCTAATCTATGACATGATTGCGACATGTGTGTGTGCAAATCTGAGTACAATGTGTGACAACAAGCACATTTAAATTGTAATCACGTTAAAGTATACAATCTGGCAATGCACAAAACAAAAATTTGATACAGATTGTATTTATGATACCTTGCTTGTATTGCGTCCGTCACGTGTCTGTCTGTGTATGCGCTCATTGCCAAGGGCAACTGTAGCGATGTATGACGCACAGCTAAACGAGTAAATAACAGTAAATGTGACCTTACCTTAAGTTTGGACTGGTAGATTTCAGTTGAACTAGATGATGAAATTGAAAATTATGATTTTTTAGTTTAGTCTGACTGAAATTGAAACATTGTGTATAAAATTACACTTTCATTTTGAGATATCTTCTGTGATTCTAGAGAAAACAAGTGAGCTTACTATATAAATCTGAGAAGCAGAAAAAGCAAGACATAAAAGTCTCCATTTACTCTGCATTAATCTCATTACTGAAAAGTGGTTGAGACAGTTCAAATGAGATGTGAACTAAAGATCTCATTTGTGATTATTGACCTTCAAAACTTTTGTTTCATAAATTATATAGAACTTTCAGTAAATGATCTTGGAATTCTTAGAATTCTATAATCTATTGTCAGTAAATGATTAGCACACAATTGTCTAGAATGTCATTGTCTGCGGTTGCTTTTAGATTAGTCCTCACTGAAAATGAAGGGCAAAACCACACTTAATAATTATTGATTTTCCCATATCTTTGTCTATGTAAAATATAACAGAAATGAGCAGCAATAAAGCTCTCGACCATCTTAACTTGCCTTTAATTCCTTCTTAACTTAACCTTATACCGGAAGATACCCTTACAAAAAATATGTATATTCAAGTGTGCTATTAGTATACTTCTTTTAAACTAAAAATAAGAAAGTATAGCCAACTTTCAGCCTACTTTTTATGTTATTCTCAGAAATATACTTTTACTTCTCAGTCAGAGCCGGATTAACGCAAAGGCAAACTAGGCACGTGCCTAGGGCCCGATTGGCGGGATGGGGCCCAGACAGAGGGACAAAAATAAAAAAAATTACAAATGTCATATCTACAATTTATTTCAAAATTTATTAATTAACTTAAAATAGTGACGATGTTTATCTTAACCATAGACTGTTATACGTCACATTAACGCCAGCCCATCAGGTGCTGCGAAGCAAAAGCACGCAAAGAAGCACAGCTCGTAATGCAGGTGTGTGCGTTGTCGTCAACTATTTTGGAGTGATTGCAATGTATTCTAAATATAAACTTGTAGGCCTACTGTAGATCAGCGTCATTTCTAGAAAAATCATTCACCGCTTTATTACTTGTTTAAAAGAGCGCGAGCGTCATTAACGTGCCCAGACGCGACGCTTTGAATTTGCACGTACAATGAATAACATCGCGTCGGGAGCTGACTAAAAACGCTACAAAAGTAAAAGACAAGACGTTTGTATTCAAAGTTAAAAACCCAACACACTACAACATTTTTAAATGTTTCAAATAAAGGATCTCATGGGTCTATCTTCTAAATTCTGCTGCTGATTAGATTATAGCCTACCTGACATCAGCCTACTCACGCCAATAATATCAGTTTAGAATTTTTTTTCTAATCAGTAGCGGTCGTGTCTTTCTCTTCCACTTGATTTGTGTATAGCATATTTAAGCTAGCAATGCATAATATCATATTACTTATATTAATAATAGGACAATATCTGCAGTCAATATTGATTAAATGGGAGGGGAAAATCCTGCCCATACCAGCTATGAAAAAAATGATAAAAGCATATATCACTGAAGTGGTATTCTGGAACTGTGAATAAATTGAATAAAACTTTAAAATAACAATAACAATAACATCTTCATTAAACAAAAAAGAGATTACCTTAGATGAAGTTTGATAATATGTACATGCAGTAGCCTACTGGTAAAAAGTCTGGACCAATTACTGTTTAATGTTTTTGAAAGAAGTTTTTTATTATGCCCTACAAGCCTGCATTTATTTGATCAAAAATACAAAAAAAACCCAGGAATATTCAGCAAGGATGTGTTAAATATATAAAAGTGATAGTGAAGACTTTTTTTAAAACAACTTTTTAATAATAATAAAAAATCCTGAAAAAAAGTATCACAGGTTATAAAATAAATATCAAGCACCACTTCTAACATTTGATAATAAATCAGAATATTATAAAGTTTTATGAAGGATCACATGACACTAAATTCAGCTTTGCATCCAAGAAATATATTTTAAAGTATAGTAAAATAGGAAAACCATTATTTTAATAATATTTCACTATATATTATTTTTCTGTATTTTTTATCAAATACATCCAGGCTTGATGAGCATAAGAGACTTCTTTCAAAAACATTAAAAATAGTAATGTGTCCAAACTTATGTACTGTGTAAGTAAAAAACATTTGAAATTAAATGTTGTATAAATTAAAAGGTTAGGAATCATATTTGTTTGAAGAGTTTTTTATTGGGGGTGGGGGGCCTCCAACAAGAATATTGCCTAGGGCCTACAAATCTCTAGAACCGGCCCTGTTCTCAGTAATATACTTAAAGCTGCAGTCCGTTGCTTTTTTGGGTTAACAATTATCCTAAATAAATTTTTGAGAAAATACATAACCAGCCAGTGTTCAAAACTATCTGCTTGCCTTAGCTCGATTCAAAGCGGTAAGCTTGTAATAATGTTTTTAATTCCAGTGGTACTGGTGGATTTCCGCGGGAGATTCGAGCATGTCTTTGCGTCATTACGCCACATCTGTACACATAAAGAAGGAGTCTTGCGTGTGAGGATGTTGGAGGTGGAGATTTATAGCCTTTTCTCACAGCACTTGATATAATTTAACTTATCAATTTGATGGCGGATCCAGAAAGGTTCAACCGGCCCATGCGAAAACAAGGATACATCTCGGAAGGACATTACATCACGCAATGCTGACGTTGTTAACATTAACAATTTGAGAACAAAGTATAATTTGCACGGTTTTACGTGATATGATAAGCGATTGTTAGATTTAATCAGCACGATTTATGTCAGAACCAGAACAAAAGTAGATGTTTCTTACTTGTTCAGATGACATTTTCCGGTGAAAATTATTATGTTGGTCATACTTCCAAAAAGAATAATCTGTGATTCTGAATGACAGTATCCACACCGACGCGGTGACTGACAGCTGCACACTCTCCTCAAACAATGTGTTCATCCGCGCTGTGCCGTGTCGAGGCACAACTCACGTAAAGTTGATAATTCTGCGAATAAATGCAATTGCAGATTTCGAACAGAGATGGCAACAAAGAGGAAAAACTGCGGACTGCAGCTTGAAATTGACACTTAAGTATACTTGACTTATACTGACAGAAAAGTCTAAGTAGATTTGCACTATAGACCTTATGTAGCCCCACCCCTTTTCTCTGTTTTCATTTCTCTGGCGCATAAGGTCTATACTTAAACTCAATCTTTGATTTGAGATTAAAAGTATAATTAAGTATTTGGCTTGTAGTTGTGTTTACTCTTTGTTTGAATGGCCTATTAAATACTTTTTTTTAAAACAGATATGTTCCTAATTCTGATTATGTGAGTTTTTTTGTAGTCCACTGGGAGAGTACATAGGAATTTACTTCAAATCTACTTACAGTTAAAGATATATTTCAAGTATAAAAAATTAATACCTAAATAGGAACATAGTAGCATACTTAAAGTGCAAAAATAACATATAAATAGTAAACTAAATGTATGTGTCATTATGTGGGTCTTGTGTCCTGTCATGTTTAGTGTCATTAGTGTCTTGTCATTAGTTATCCCAGGTGTTTCTTGTTATCCACGTCACCTTGTTATCCTGTCTGCTCGTTTGTCTCTGATTATTTAAGCCCCGTGTTTCTGCCCTGTCTTTGTCAGTTATTGAATAAATGTATTTACGTACCACGAGTGTCTTGTCTGTTCTGAGTTTAGTCTGCATTATTAAAGTCTACTGCTGCATTTAGATCCGACTACCGCCTTTGCTTCCACGCAATTCATGACAGAATAACTGACCTCCCAGGATCTAGCAGTTAGGAGAAGAACTCACCGCAAAATGGATCCAGCAGTCGCTCCAGCAGTCTCTCCCATAGTCGTCAGCAACCGGGCCCTGAGAGAATATCTCTCGGTAATGTTTCAAGAGAACCAGTCCGTCCGAAGCTACGCTAATGACTTCCTCTCCATTTGCCATCTGGGAACGCTCGATGAAATCCAGCTCATAAGCCTGTTTTGGAGCAGGCTGGATTACCGAATCGCTCGATGGATGCCGAGTGACATTACCGATTGGACTCTGGACCGGTACATTGCAGAGGCTTGCTTCGTGGACGGCTCCATATCCATGTTCCCGTCCTACCCAGTCGCGC